CCCCCCCCCCCGTCGCCAAAAAATTTTCGGTCAGTGTACCATTTTAGAGGTTAAAATTTTTTTCCGGAGCACAAAATTTTTCCGGACGAGTACGTTGCAATTGCTTTCGAGGGACTTTATCTCATTTTTTATGCCAAAATTCGGTACTTAGCCCAAGAAAACAGATATCTTGTCCTTTGCGCGGAAATATTTAACACACAAAAAAGGCTGCGGCCCAACAAAAATTTTTCAGGGGCCCCCAGCAACTCGGGGCCCGGGGCAATTTGCCCCCCCCCTGCCCCCCCCTCTCGGCGGCCCTGCTGGTGTATATGTATACCAACCTATGACAATATAGAAAGTGAACCAGCATTCCACAGGTGATTAACGCAGCCACACACACCGACGCTATTGTTGGTACTGTTTGAAAACAAAGACGCATGTTATGATGAAACTTTCTATATAATGTGGGGCAACTGTGGCGAACTCTTGAAAGGAAAGCTACAGAAACTTCAAAACCAAGCTACAAGAGTCATTACAGGTGATTCATATGAAATACGCTCCTCAGATATTTTGGAAAATTTAAATTGGAAAAAGGTTGCGGAAAAAAGAAAGGAGCACTAAAATATTATCGAAAGCTCTTGCGTGTGGATGTCCTGAGAACATTTCTAATTCTGAACGATATGAGTTAAGAAGTAATAATAACACACTGATGTTGTCGAAGCCCAAACCAATTCAATGAAAAGGACTTTCGGATACGCTGCTGCCGAAGTATGGAATCAAAGTAAAAATAAGTATTTATCTCATTTGATGTGTGACGGAGAAATAAGGGTGATTTGAGGGACGAAATTGCCAGTAGGGCGAGGGGTTTGCATAAAATGTTTAATCTTATTGCTTGCTACATGCACGGCCTAATGAAAAGCAATCCTGATTGACTGTATAACTTATTATATGGTAGATTAGTTACCGTGCAGAAAGTGTTTTAAATAAATAAATAAATAAATTTCCCTAGCAGTAGTTCATCCAATGATATTCATCCAATCAGACTTACTTTTAATGATGACATCGAAAGGATGAAATTTCAGTATTTTCAATGAGAGAACTTCACGTATTACAACAAGCGATGCCTGAAACATGTATTGAGAAGGACTTACTGAAGATAAATAGCTTATTCATATAGCTGAAACTAAGTATGTTCTACACATTAAGTACATGCATTATTATACGAAAGTAGTATATGAAAATCAGTAAGTACAATATAATTTGAATTACTCACATTAAATACAAGAAGTACAGACACCAGAAACGTCGCCAAAGTTGTACTGGAAAATTTGAAACCTGGAACAAACATACAAAACAAGCAGTAAGTATGAGGGTGTGATAATTATCCTTGCTTGCAGCTGAGAGCTACAAGCTGAATTGCAAACGACTCATCTCAACCTGATCGAGAAAGGCTTTTTTTAAAGGGCGACTCTGCATGGCAGCCACCTAATAGACCTTTCCCCTTATGAGTGAAACTTCGATCTAGATATGCCTGGACAAAAATTTCATCACAGCTTGAAACAGCATCACAAAATTAGTAATATTCCCAAGTTTCGTTGCGAAATGTTGTAAAATGCGGATAATATAGCCTTGCGAAGTTTGCCGTTTTTCAGTCATTTTGCATTACAAACGGGAAATTGATCAGATGATCAAACTGATTATCAATTTCCCATTTGTAATACAAAATGACTGAAAAACGGCAAACTTCGCAAGGCTATATTATCCGCATTTTACAACATTTCGCAACGAAACTTCGGAATATTACTAATTCTGTGATGCTCTTTCAAGATTTTTGTCGAGACTTGTTTAGATCAAAATTTCATTCAAAAGGGGAAAGGTCTATTATATGACTGTCTGACCACGGACCACAGCTACGGTGAAAGGGTCAGTTTGGAGCTTATCTCAACCACCCCGTCAACATTCCCTGTGGGAGGAAAGCGGAGTCACAGAATAAAGACATACAGAAGTGTATCTTCTTATTAAAAGTGCGTAAGGGATTTTTTCAGTCCGCCATGTTCTTAGCAAGTGCCCTAAAGAGAGGCAGTCACCCCCCTGAAAACATATTGAAAATTTAATATTCCAGGGGGGGTGAATGCCTCTCTTTAGGGCACTTGCTAAGAACATGGCCGCCAGCTATTTCGGTAAAAAGCGCCTTACGGTTTTGTAATGGAAGTTACACTTCTGTATGTCTTTATTCTGTGGCGGAGTACCCGAAGAAAACCCACGAGTTTCGGTAGAGCGTTGACTGACTCTTTTCTCATAAGAGAACCGTACCCACGATCTCAGCCGTGAAAAGCCCTTGCTCTGACGGTACTCTCCATTGTTGAGTAAAATCTTTTATATAATACCTTATTAAATTCTAATCGTTTAATTGGCTGTTTATGGTCACGTGATATTGAATAGAAAATTCCAGTTCCCAAGAGTGCAATGGAACGCGTTCCATTACACTCTCCGCGCGTGGAATGGAATAAAACGTATAGTACAATTGCACTCTTTGTGTTTTCGATAAATCGCATCCCTCAAAATGCTTCTCATACGAATTTATTAGTCTGTTCTGGACTTTTGGTATTGTATAAAACAAATAATGAATGTTTCTTCGTGCAATGGTAAGAATATTTTCATGAAAATATTCTTACCATTGCACGAAGAAACATTCATTATTTGTATACTATGGCTAGTATCTTTAAAAGAAGGAACGGGGATTCTGGGAACGAAACGGGGAATGCGGAAAACAGGAACGCGAAAAGCCGGAATCTGTAAAAACAGGAACGCGAAAAGCCGGAATCTTTAAAAACAGGAACGCGAAAAGCCGGAATCTTTAAAAACAGGAACGCGAAAAGCCGGAATGTTTAAAAACAGGAACGCGAAAAGCCGGAATCTTTAAAAACAGGAACGCGAAAAGCCGGAATATTTAAAAACAGGAACGCGAAAAGCCGGAATCTTTAAAAACAGGAACGCGAAAAGCCGGAATCTTCAAAAACAGGAACGCGAAAAGCCGGAATCTTTGATGATTTTATAGTGTGAAATATTAGTGAAGTCAGTCTGAATTAGTGCATGAATATATATCTTAAAAATTTCGATTTCCCAATAGTCGAATAATGTAGTGGTTTGTTGCCTTTAAATGGAAAAAGTGCAAAAATCTTTACAATCTACCTTATTATAGGAAACAAGACGCCTGCTCAGGCGTTCACACTGGCCTGAAAATAACGAGATACGTGCTATGGTGCAAAAGGCAGGAATACAAATCTTAAACCGCAAGCAAATTTTATGGACTTTTTAAAAAAATAAAAGACCTTTTCGGGAGACGTAATGGTGCAAATCTATTACTAGGAGTTACTATCGCAAGGAAAGTGCTGCCTTTATGGCGTATGAACTGAATGCAAAAATTTATACTTCTAGACAATTCTCGGTTATATCCCCAATGTTTCCTTCTCGTTCATCATTTAAGCCCGTTCACAAACTCATTCTTAAATTGTGTGCACGGAATACGAGTAAATAGCCAACATGAAAATGAAGCCATTGGGTCAAAAGTGGATATTAAGGTCTATTAACCTATTACTAGCTGACAATGCACACTACATTAGTACTAACTCTAGCTAACGCCAGACCAATTTACACTGTAACGCCAGATGATTTTACTTGTTAGTGGCAGAGTACTGTCAGTAAATGGGTTAACAAACACATCTGACATTGGTCTCTTATTAACCCATTAACAGACAATGCACTCTGCTTTAGTATTCTTTAGTAACT